GAAAGTAGAGAACACATTTTTTCTGGGAATGTACAAATGTATTTATATCTATGCATAATGTAGATATATTTGTTAATTATAATTTTCCAATTCTGAAAAAAAATAATACTTATTAATTTGAAATCGAATGTCTTTGTTGTTATCTAGATTAATTTCGTAATTGCGCACGTGTATCTCACACTTGAATCAACATTTTATCTCAATAAAACATCTGTGAGCATGTTTAGCTTTTTTTATTTTAATAAATTAATATTTTTTATATACATATATTTTTCGAATATACATACGAGTATATGCATGTATATGTATATATACGTATGTACTTATTTTTTTTTTTGTTTCTTAATTATATATTCTTTTTGTACATAAACATATTACATAGTTTCAAATCTCTTTAATTTTTTTTACAAATTTTAGCGCCTTTTGTAACATTTTGTCACAATATACATGCGTTATTTTTTTTTATAATTTCCAATATTTGAAATGTTGCTTTTTATCATTATATTTTGATAGTTTTGCTAATGTGATTATTTTTTTTATTTTTAATGTAATTTTTATTCTCAATATGCATATTTGATTTTTACTATTCTTTTTATTACAAGTTTTGAAAATTTTTTATATTTTTATATTTTTTTTTCCAAACTATGAGCATTTTTTTAATATGTACAAAAACTTAATTTTCATGGTTCTTTGTCTCTGTTTTAAGTTTTTTTAATTTTTATATTTTTTTTTTCGCGACTTATGATTGTCTTTTTAACATTTTTTATTATTAAGATTTTCTTCCTTCCTTCTTAATATAATTAATTTAATATTAATGCTTTATATTATAGCTCTTAATTAAAGTATTATTTGTTTTTTATTGTTATTTTTTCTTATTTTTACTTGAGTTAGTTTTTTATTTATTTTCTTTTTAATTTATGTATCAAATAAAAAAATTATCAATTTTGTTAAGTGCACTACGAGGGACCTTGTTGTTTGTATGAATTGAATATTTGTTATACAACAAAGAAAAATGGTAGAAGTGACAGCTCATTTCATTAATAATTAATAAAATTAATAATATAATAATTAATATTCAAATATTATTTGTTTTCAACATAATTTATTTTTTATTAGTTCCCTTTTATTAATTTTTTTATAATTAATTTATTTTTTTTGTTATTAATTTATTTTTCTATTATTAATTTAGGTTTTTTTATTATTATTTACTATTTTTGTTATTAATTTAGTTTTTTATTATTAGTTTAGTTTTTTTTTTATTATTGATTTGGTTCTTTTTATTATTAATTGCGTTTTTTGTTATTAATTTATTTTTCTATTATTAATTTGCTTTTTTTGTTATTAATTTAGTTTTTTATGAGTTTAGTTATTTTTCATTATTAATTTGGTTTTTTTATTATTGTGTTTTTTTTATTATTGATTTAATTATTATGTTTTTATTATTAGTTTTTTTCTATTAATTGCGTTTTTTACATTATTAATTCAGTTTTTTTTATTATTAATTTAGTTTTTTTTTTAATTTTTTTTTTTAATAATTTTTTATTATTAATTTAGTTATTTTTTTAATTTTTTTTTAATAATTTTTTGTTATTATTTTAGTTATGTTATTATTAACTAATTAATTAATTTTTATAATTAATTAATCTATTTATTTTTATTCTAAAGTTAGCTCAAAAAATTTATATTAAAAATTTTAGTTTCATTTATTTCATTTAATATTTTAAGAAATACCATTCTTAAAAATATATATTTAGTATTTAAAAATAAATAATATATTTATTAAATATTATTTTTTAATTCTTTATATATTCCTATTATTTTATATTACCCTTAAATTTTTTTTTGTTCATTACTAATTTTTTATTAATTAGATGTTTGTTGTGTATATATCAATTTAATGGGTTTAAATTCTGTTTAATTTTCCCAATTTTTTCCGCAACACTTAAAACCAAGCACTTTTTATTGCTCACCATATTTAAATGTATGTAATATATATTTTAAATGTGTGTATGTCTTAATTTTTTGCATTTGATAAACATTAATATTGTGATGTTTTCTTAATTTTATTGCCCCATTTTAGTTAATTTTTTCAATTTAAATTTTTTTAAAATAATTTTGAAATGTTTTTCATATACCAATAATATATATGTATAAGCATAGTTAAAAATGTGTCTCTTTTTTATGGAATTTTTACGTTTTTTAAATTAAATTTATTATTTTTTTTTTAACATTTTAGTGTTTTATAATAAATTTATTTTTATTTTTTCGTTTGCTACCCAAATATTCAGCATTCTCTCCGCCGCTTTTTGCTGTCTAAATTTAACACACATTATTCTGTTGTTATTTATAGCAGTGCGACGTACTCGCTTTGAACAACTGCAATAATTTCGCCCGCGATGAACATATTCATACACATATGTACACGAACATGCTGGCATGCATATGAAAATACATTAATGTATTTTTTGTGTGTGCATATATGTATGTACATATTTTTATTTCATTTCATTTATTTAAGATTTGTGCAAAAACTGGCGCTGTTGTTGCCATCATCAACAATCGCCATAATAGCCTGTTGCAGAGGCAGAGCCAAAACGTACTTCTTCGGCTGTTCTCTGCTACAAACATACGTACCATGGCATGGGTGCTGCACAGTGGGGCAATGACCCCTAAAAAAATATAGAACAATATTTAGAAAATGAAAAATTAGTTCATATACATATCTACATACATATGTATGTATGTCTGAAAAAAACCCTTATATACATATATATTTATTTTTCAGTGGTAATTCAAGAAGAACATTTTATCGATAAAAATATTTTTTCGGCCATCTAAATAGTTTTAAAGGAAAAAATTGCTTGAACTTTGAATTCCTGTAACAAATCGTCCCACTATATAAATTTTTGTTCTTGCACATACATATAAAATTCTTGAGTTGAAGTTTTTGTTGTTGTCACCGGTACTTTTTTTTACGGATCGTCTTGTTGTGCAAATGTTGTCTTTGGCGTCATCGAGCTGGTGGCAGGTCGCATGTCTTTTGGGGAAAGCCTGCCGCCAGCGCTGTGTATAAAGTGATGATCACAAGACTTCCTTGTTCGGTTGCAATCCGTTTCTATTAATTTTCTGTCATTCATGCATTCAATTGAAGAATTTTGTTGATATTTTGTAAAAGAAAGAAATAAGAAAAAAATTGAGAATGCAAATGCGCTAAATATAACATTTAGCAGCTTGTAGTTGATGTTATTTATAAACAAATGACGAGTGATGCAAAATGAAATAACGACAAAAGAGAGAAAAAAATTTAAAAAACTTACACAAAGAAATAGAAATAAATCAATGTGGAGAAAATAGAAAATGCTTGAAAACAAAATAAAAAGAAAACTTAACTAAAATAAATATAAATAATAAATAATTACTTAATAAAAATAAATGATGATAAAATTAAATAAAAATAAATAATAATAAAATTAAATAAAAATAAATTATAATAAAATTAAATAAAATTAAATTATAATAAAATTAAATTATAATAAAATTAAATAAAATTAAATTATAATAAAATTAAATAAAATTAAATTATTTTTAAAACAAAATTAAAAAGAAATATATTAAAATAAAAGTAAATAAAATTAATATCACACGAATTTATAATTAAATAAAGTTATAATTAAATAAAATTATAATTAAATAAAATTATAATTAAATAAAATTATAATTAAATAAAATTATAATTAAATAAAATTATAATTAAATAAAGTTATAATTAAATAAAGTTATAATTAAATAAAGTTATAATTAAATAAAGTTATAACTAAATAATATATTTAGTTTATTTAATTATAATTTAGTCAAATATAATTACAATAAATTATAATTAAAATTAAGTTAAAAAAATAAAATCCAAAAAATAAAATTTAAATTTCTATAATAAAATAAATTTTAAATAATTAAAATCTAATTAAATAAATTGAAGTAAATTCGAAATCGAAATACAATTAAAATAAATAATACAAACAAAACATTAACATGAATTAAGATGACCAAATTATTTAAAAATTAAATAAATTACTTAAACTTAAATGAAGTAAAATAAAATGAATTAATTTTAAAAAAAATTTAAAAAACAAAAACAACTAACATAAAATAAAAAAATATTTTTAAAGCAAAATAAAAAATATAATTTAAAACAAAATAAATATAAAACTAAATAAAATTAAATAAAAATACCTTTATAGTTCGTAAAATAGAATATTAAACAAAATATTAATAAAATTCAAAATAAAACTAATTCAAATAAACTTAAAAATAATATAAGGATAAAGAAATAAGAGAATTGAAGAGTTAATTAAAGAATTAAAAATTAATAAAAAAAAATAAAAAAATGAATTAAATAATATTTTGTATGGAATATAAAATAAAATATTAAAAAATAAAAAAATTATAAATAAATAAGTGAAATTTAAATAAATATAATAAAATATAAATAAATAAAAAAAACATAAATAAGTAAAATAAAATATAAATAAATAAAATAAAATATAAATAAATAAAATAAAATATAAATAAATAAAATAAAATATAAATAAATAAAATAAAATATAAATAAATAAAATAATATATAGATAAATAAAATAATATATATAAAAATAAAATAATATATATAAAAATAAAATAATATATTTAAAAACAAAATAATATATTTAAAAACAAAATAATATATTTAAAAACAAAATAATATATATAAAAACAAAATAGTATATAAAAAAATAAAATAATATTTAAAAAATAAATAGATAAAATATAAAGAAATGAAATAGAAAGGAATAGAAAAATATATAAAGCAATAAAATGAAACAATGAAAATCATTAAAGAAGTAAAACCGATCAATAAAACTATATATATTTATCTACTTTATGGTAAATTTATTTATATTAATTTCGCCATTTCCTTTATTCTATTCCCCACTTCAAAAAAAAAAAAAAAAAAAAAAAACTAGGCAATGGCACCATTGACTTTCCCGAGTTCTTGACAATGATGGCTCGCAAAATGAAGGATACCGATAGTGAAGAAGAGATCCGAGAAGCCTTTAGAGTATTCGATAAGGATGGCAATGGCTTCATTTCAGCGGCTGAATTGCGTCACGTCATGACAAACTTGGGTGAAAAGTTAACAGACGAAGAAGTGGATGAAATGATCCGAGAGGCTGATATCGATGGTGACGGTCAGGTCAATTATGAAGGTAAGCAAAGTCTCAACTAATACAAAAAAAAAAAAAAAAAAAAAATAAACAGAAATAACAAACATTTTACTTGGTGTTAGTGTAGGGCATTTGAATGATTTTCTTTTTATTTTAAGCGCCTTTTCGGCGTAGTACATCGTGAATTTTTATTATTCATTTTTAGCGAACACTTCTTTGCTGCTAAATTTATTAATAGAGTTTACTGACATTTGACAGAAATAAAATTGTAGACAATGATAAATATTTTGACATAAAATGACAAGGATGATTTGTATTTTGGCACACCTGTAATCAACAATGTACGCTTTTAGTGTACCATTTATATGTATGTGTGCGCCGTGGCAAATACACATATTTATTTATTTATTTAGGCGCACGTGCGTGTTGAAAAAATATTTCCTATGTAAATATTACCGCTATTTTCCCTAATATTAACATTTTAGTGGTAAATACACCTCAGCGAATACATATAAATTGCCTTATAAATAACTTTTTGTAGTATCCACATCACTTTGCATGTTAATAACACACCCTTTTTGGCCAAAACTGACATCGACAGCCATTACAAGCAACACATTTCTCCTCTTCCATCAACGTAGGGACGCCTCTTCAATCACATTGTACAAACATCAACCACAAAAATCACTTGTAAATGGTTTGTGCTATCTAAACACAACACATTACAGCACACAACGCGGTAGCTAATCATTTCGCAAATACAATCTATCAATGTTGTCCGAACCCCACTTCAACTGCTGGCAACAGCGACACTGCTGTTAGTTACTTCTTGTCAATTTTGATATATTAGCTTACCTTTTAGTAGCAGATAGTGTAGGATATGTAATTTTATGAATGTGTGTATGTGTAGATATTTGCATTGAATTGAGAGGACCCAATTTTTTTTTTTATTTACATTCACCAGGTGTGTGGGCAAACTTAATATAAGAATTTATTGCATCACGCGCACCGCACACAACCAATGTTCAAACAACAACCGGCAGAATTACGTATATTTGTAAGCATATTAGTGTTAGCCACACAACAACAGTGTGATTAGTTTGTATTAGCCTTGTCCGTCCATCAACCTTCATCTTCATTTTTGTGGCGTATGGCTTATAAGAATTGATGTTTGTCGTTAGGGCGACACTACTCCTTGTGCATGCATATATATATATATGTATATGTGTATTAGCACAGTCAAATCCGTGTGATATAGGGATTAGTTGGCTGGCTGCACCACGAAGTGAGTGAACCCCACTCTCTGTGTATGGTAGTTTTGTGTTTCTAGGCTTGTATGCTTGTGTGTTTAGTGGGTGTGGGTAGTTGATTATTGGTTGACATAAAAAAAATCGTTTTTGTGAAGAAGACTATCCCGTTTCGGATAAGAAAATGTCTACATACCTATATATATGTATATATATATGTAAATAGATACCAAACCTGCCCACAAAGTAAATACTTGTACTGTGTTTTCAAAGTTTATTAGGTCTTCCTCAACGAATTTTTGGCATTAAGCCAAAGTGTGGAAGGTTTCTGCTTTGTTCCTTATTTTATAGAGCACACATACGGCTTTTATACTTAATTTTTTGGATTTTTTTTAAATTTTATTTTTAGTTATTTTGTTTTATTTTTTTTTATTTTTTTTTTATTTTTTTTTTTTTTTATTTGCTTTGGTGCGTCTCTTCATTTATTTATTGTGTACGCTATATTTTATTGTTGGTTGTTGTGTTTGCGAAAAAAATTCCGCGTAATTTACTTACCTACTACCTATCGACACGGGGATGGGGTAAAAGTGAAAGAGTTGAGGAGAAAAATTCAATGCTAATTGGTCGCTTTCGGCAATAGTTTCGTCTTTTTATTTGCCCTCTAATTTTCTTTTGTGCTATTGTTGTTATTTTATGGTTTTTTTTTTTTCTGTTGGCACGTTGATGCCGATCTCTTCTTCTGTTTAGTGTCTTTTTGCATACCTATTACTAGAAAAAATCTATGCGATAGAAAATTGTAGAAGCACACATACTAGTATGTACATACATATAAACTCATGTCTTTCTACACGTGTATATTAGCTTTATTTTCTTGTTTTACGCTCATTACTCATTGCCTACTCTTTAACGGTCATGCGACTGTGTGTAAGAAGTGACTTAATCAAATGATAGGTTTTTTATAAATTAAAGAACACAGTCATACATACAACTATGCTGTATAAGTGATGAATGGTGTGGAAATTAAAGTTATTTGCACTGATAGGACTTCTATGTAAATTAAATCAAAAAACAGTCGTTATTGGAGGAAAATGACATTGGTGAGATGGATAAACTGGACTGGAAAAGCATAAATTGGAGAGCATTTTACTGCTGGAAACTTACAAAATTGGTTGCAAAATATACGCCAGGACAAAAAAAATCATTTTCGAATTATCGAATTTTGTTTCAGATATAATTTTTAAAAAAATTGCCTGCTTAAAAAATCGTATTTCAAAATTTATATTGTTTTCGAAATAAATTTTCCAAACGAAATTTTTTCGAAATTAATTTTCCAAATGAGATTTTTTCAAAATTAATTTTCCAAATGAGATTTTTTCGAAATTAATTTTCCGAATGAAATTTTTTCGAAACTTTTTTTGTTGAGTCACGGTTTAAGTATTTTTTATTTATCATTTTTCATTTTTAACAGAATTAGCACCGGTTAAAAAAACTGTATTTTAATATTTCGATAATTTTCGAAACTTTTCGGAACTGATTTTATTTTATTTTATAATAAGTATTACTGCTTTAATCAATAGCAGAATGTATGCCACCTCAAAAAAATCATATTTCGAAGTTTCGAATTTTTTCGAGAAGCTCCCAAAAATATATTTTTTTCCGAAATAAACATTTAATTTTAAATTTTATATTTTCATTTTTATAATGTGGGTAAAGGTTATTGCGAATGTAGTTTTTTTATGACAGAATCTAATAAGAGTATTGCTGGCTATGCAGTTTTAAATTATGCACCATTAATTAATTTTTCGTAGTTTCGAAATTTTTTCGTAATTGGTTTTCGAAATTTTTTTTTTATTATTTTATAAAAATTTCGGATCTCACATTTTGCACTGTTTGCAAGCATTGAACTGGTAACTTGCTTTTTTCGAAGTTTATTAAATGAGTTTGTGAAATATTTTCTCGTTACCACATGATATACTTGAAATATAGGTAAAAAAGCATTTTTAGTTTAATTTTATAAAAATTTTCGAAGTTCGAAAATTCGAAAATGAAATTTTTTATTTTTATGTTTTTAAAATATTAATATAAAAAGCATTTTTAAGGTAACTGGAAAATTTTTCAAAGTTCGAAATTTCGAAAATACAATTTTTTAATTTTTTTTAAAAGATAGTTTGATAACATCTTTTTTTTTTTAATAGTAATCGAATTTATTTACTGTGTTAAATATGTTTTTAATAATGTTTTTAGCTGTAATGAACTGCCATGTTTTTTGTTTTGTTTAATCAAAATCCCTATAATTATAGTTATACTCGCACACTGTCATTGCTTGCCACTTTTTATTGTGACTCACTTGAGAGTCTTTCTTTTTCCGATTTTTTATTTTATTTAGAAAATGCAAATGCTATTGTGAGTCACGTAATGTATCTTTGCGCGTATTTTGGTGTAGGTGGAGAACACTCCATTTTTCACACATCACTGCCTTTTTAGATGTAATTATTTATATTACTATAATTATAGTATGCGCTTTGTGTGTGAAGGCGGTGTTATTTAAAATCGCTTTCGAGAAAAATAACGCAATTCACATTTGATGAATAGAAATGGAAATGTCATACGGAGAAGAGGGTAGGGTGTGCGCTCTCAAACAAAACATGTTTCGTAATTCCTTTTCTGAAATGCGAAAAATTGGCAAGGGAAAATTAATAAACAGAGACATGAGATCACGAAAAGTGTGCAGTACGTATATATTATATATATTTCTATACATATATATATTTAAAAATTCGAAAGAAAGTTTTTAAAAATTATATGCTTATTCTATCGTAAGAATTCAAAGTTTATAATATTAAAAAAATTAAAATTTATAATATATAAAAAAAGTAAACAAATGAGTTTTATTGAGGTAAAAAATGTAAAATAAGTGCCACTATTTATTTGCTTGAAGTCATCTTTTCTGTTAAATTTGGATGTAATGCGCCTAAAAGTGGACTACGTATTTTAACATAGCCGTGAATTAGAAGCTGTCTCGAGATTTATTGATTACTACTTAATTTTTATTTTTTGTGTTATTGTTTTTGTACCACTATTTTTACAACTTCTTAAGAATAAGTGAGTTCGAAAAGTCATTTATTTGCCAGGATATAATATTTTTTGACTCATGCGCCAAGTAAAATGTTTTTTCTTGTGTTTTTTCTTTATTACGAGTTCATACATAGATATTTTATTCTAATAGTTTTGATATCTCTCTAATTTTGCCATTATTTGCATCTTCTTTTCAGAATTCGTGACTATGATGACATCGAAGTGAGCAGATAAATTACTTGTTTTTAAGCCTTTCTATGTTTTTAAGATGTTGACGAAGACTGTAGCTGTGCGCCACAACATCGCGCGACGCTGTTGCTATGGAAACCATTAAATAAATAAATATATAAAAAGAAAATACAAAAATACAAAAAATAAAAGAATATATAAAATCTTGAGAAAAAGGGAGAATTAAATTTATAAATAAACATTAAAAATAAAGAAAACAAAAAACAGAATACATTATAATAAATTACACTTTAATATATTTAAAATAAAGATAAAAACAAAACAAAAAACCAACTTACAACAACTCAATGTAATAATGAGAAGGATAAAGACATACACATATATTTACATATACATACTTAAATAAAATTACACATTTCCATTCTTACACGCACATACACACACATAAACATTTAGCACACACACTCAATCAAAAACTGCAACACATACATACAAATATACAACATAAAATTTTTTTCCTCTTTTATTCATATTTTACGAATATTAAACACCAACAACAAACAACAGCAAGTAGTACATATACATACATACCTACATATGTAGTTAAATATATTGTATGCAAAAGCCGCATGTATTTGGTCAATCGGTCGGTCGGTCGGTCGGTGGGTCGGTTGGGTTATTTGTAACAAATAGCGCTGACCTGACCCCCCGCCGCCACCACCACTACACGCGCATAGCGTTGTACTAATTGATGAATTGTGTTTAGAAAGGAAATATCGAAATGAAATTTAAATAAAAGAAAATTTAAAAAAAAAAAAAAAAAACTGTTTGCTAATAATTACTTACACTTGCATATACACGCGCACACATACATTTGTACATGGTACACATTTAAACTTTATGGTTATGATGTTGAAATACATATATAGTAAATACTGTAAAGCATAATGGCATGCATGCATAACAACAACAGCAACCATATAAATAAACACACACACAACATACACGCTCACACACGAACAAAAATGCATTGAGAAATTGAGTAAAGGCAGGCGAGTTAAAAGCAGAGAATGAGTAAACGGGAAAAAAGAATTATGCTTAAGAGAGAGTATTTAAACTTTAAAATATATATTCCAATAAAGACACACAAAAGCGAAGCAGCAAAGCAAGAAAAAATAATAAAAATTTAATAAAAAAAATTAAAAAAAGAAAGCAAAAAATCGCTAAGCAAATGCAAATAAGCAACAGTTATTAAACACATACGTACATAAATGAATTACAAACAGAAAACAAAAGCAGAAAACCAAGAAGTAAAGATAACAAAAAAAAAAAAAGAAACAAAAAACAAAAAAAATTATTAGCTATGGATTTAGTAATAATAATGTAAAATCAATCGATCAATCAACCGCAACAATGACAGGCATAAAATACAAATACAAACACTACACAACATACCTAACAACAACATCAACACAACAAACAAACAGACAAAGAGACAAACAAACCCAAAAACAAAGTCTTATTAAATTGTATTTAAAACAAAGGTTAAATAAAATTAAAAGAAGAAAAGAAAAAAACAGAAAAGCTATAAAACAAGCAATGAATTGAATGCTGCATAAAAGCAGGAAAAATCAAAAGAAAGTAAGATATGTAAAGGCAAAGCGGGACAGACAGAAGTTTATTTCCATGTGTTTGTTGTGTAGCAGAGTTCAGCATATGTGTGCTGCTGTAGAGTATTTGTGTTGTATTGCAAGTGTATGAACGAACAACAGTAGACAAAAAAAAAAAAGCACTTACAGCATACAAATCGTACAGCAAAACAACAACAACAATCAATTTAAATGGCAAACACAAGCGGCGGCAAAAAAAAAATTTAAATAAAAAAAAAGAATCTTAACAACGCCGCTTTTCCATGCAGAAAATATGCAAAAAGCGTGTAAAAAAACTGAAGAAAAAAACCTTTAAATTATATAGAATTGTAGCTAAAACAAAGCATTTCTATGAAAGTTGAAGTTGAGAGCGTGGCGGCTATAGCAGAAAAATTTAAAATCGAAAAAAATATTAATAAAATATGTGAAAAAAAAACAACAAAAAAATGTAAGCGTTTATTTAGCATTCAATTGGTAGTTGAGTGTGTATGTATGTGTAAGCGGGAGCGTAATGCCGATGTGCGGAAGTTGAGGTGGGTGGGTGTACGTCGTCTATAGGATCTCTGATAGGTGAAATTGGTTTGGAATAGTAACATAGTACCCATTCACTTTTTGTAGAACCTTTGAAGCTTAGAAATCCATTTATTCAAAATTTTGACGTGCACGCCGAGACACGAATTTCTTTATTTAAAACATATTTTCATATTCTGTCGTACTGTGTAATTGGTGACTTGTAGAGTGGAGGCACTTCGGATGATTTCAAAGGGTGAGGAAAAATCTGGTCTATTATAATTGTTTTTCGCTTTTATATATATGTATACATTTTTTTAATGTATACAGCTTCTTTTTCCCAAATTTGGAACATTAATTCTGTTCATTTTATTTTTTTTTCTTTTTTTTTTATTAATTTTTGTTTCTTTCCATCTTTTTTAATTTAATTTTTTTATCCTTTTTTTTATTTTTTTTAATTATTCTCTTTCTATCTTCTTATTGTTTTTTAACTTTTTTCTTTCTATCCCTTTTTATTGACTTTATTTTTTTTCTTTTCATCCCTTTATTGTTGCTTTCTATCCTCATATTTTTTTCTCTTACCTTTTTTTAATTTTTATTTTTTTTTTCTTTTTTCATCTTCTTTTTTTTTAATTTTTTTTTCTATCCTTTTTTGTTGACTTAAATTTTTTTTCTTTTTATCCCTTTATTTTTTTTCTATCCTTTTGTTTTTTCTTTTTATCCTGTTTTTATATCTCTTTATTTTTTAATATCTTTTTTTATTTTTTTATATCTTTTTTATTTTTTTCTTTATGTTTTTCTTTATATCTTATTTTTGTTTTTATATAATTTTTTCTTTTTTTTTGTATACTTTTATATTTTTTTAATTACTTGTATATGTTTTTTTTAATTAATTTTATATTTATTTAAAATATTTTTTAAATTATATATACAAATTTTGTTTTGGTTGTGTATTTTTTTCTTTATTTATATCGTTTTTTTGTTTCTTATTTTTGTTAGTGTTTTTTTTTAATTTTTGTTAGTTTTTTTTTTTAATTTTTTATTTAGTTCATTTAATTTTTTTAATTCGATTTTTTTTTTCATTTTAATATATTTTTTAATAATATTTTTTTTTAAATTCTCAATTTTTAATTTGTTATTATTTTTTAAGTGTTTTTTTAAATATATTTGGCATTGCTTTCGTAATTGAAAGCCGTAATATTTTATTTAAATATGCGAACGCATAATACTTACACAACACGAGCACACACCCACACGAACTGCGAACGTTACAATAACAACGAGACTTTCACTTAAGACGAATTTTTTGTTTTTAATGCTGCATAAATCTACTATGCATGCTGCAAGATAACTATGGCTTGAAATGAAAAAAAACATTGCATACATTTAGGCGCCGTGGTCTTTTTGGTAAATCTTTTAATTAATTAAACCTAAAAATTGGCTTTTTTATACTTTTTTTCAGGTAATTCATTTTTATTGTTTATAAAAAATTTCTCCAAGCATACTTTTAGGAGATTCATGAGATTTTCCAGCATTTAAATTTTTCAGCAACAGCATCGAGAACCACATGCAAGCGGATAAATTGGTTGAAAATGCCTAATACTAGCAGGCAATAAACGAAATGAGCGATATAATGCATAAGTACCTATTTTTGTTCAATTGCAATTCAACTATAAAAAATTTCAAAACTATTTTCTTTTTTTTTATTTTTTTTAGTGAATCCGGCAAACTTCCAAAAGAAAACGTTCTTGCTTTTTGTGTAAATGCACTCAAAAAATAGGCTCACAATCAATTCTGCAATCAAAGCAAGTTGAGACTTGTTGGACATGGACAGCGACGATGTATACGAGGACACGACGGGGACGTTGACAATTAATTCAGCAACAACAACAACAAGTAAATGCAAAAAAATAAATAAAAGGAAAAACAACAAAAAAAAAATGTACATTTCCCCATTGTACCTACCTACACTATAAATATATATAAAAATATATACACACATAAATATGTATATAAGAGCAAAAAAAGAACTTAATTTATTAAAATAAGTACATATGTATAAGCAAAAACAAAAAGAAAAAAGTGTGCTTTAGTAGACAGCCAGTCTCAGTACTACAGTCTTAGTCTGTCGACAGAAGAAAAACGTTACAAATTAAAAAAAAAAATAATAATAAATAAAAAAATATATATATATATAAACAAAAATAAATATAATTAAAAAAGCAAAAAAAAAAATAATATCTCAAGCAACAGCTAACTGTCTTTGCGTCTACTTGCGTACTTACTTACACATACATATAGTGTGTACATACATAAATATAATATCTTTAAGCGATTTACTATAATTATTATTATTAATTTTCATTATTATTTGTATTTAACACGCATACGAAACAAATTGATACAACAACAAAAAAAGAAAAAAATACTAGTTTGTTTAGATAAATAATGATGAAATTCTTTAAAATTGAAGAAAGCGAAGAAAGTCAAGACTATTTGTACTTAATTAATTAATTAATGAATTAATTGCTACATGCAGACATACTTATACACTATTATATAATATAAATGAAAAATTTATTATACATTTGAGACATAAATTATATGCAGTAGTGTGGTGTAAAGTTAGTAACACATAAACATACATATGTTTATACATTTAAGTATATGTATGTATTCATTAAATGACTTTAATAAGTACATAAGTGTGTATTTCGAAAATTAATTTCTAATAACTGTAATAAAAATTGTATAATTTTAACTCAAGTGGAGCTTTAAATCAGAAGAAGAGACATTTGCTTTAAGCGCTTTCATAAATTTTGAGAGTGGCACATTGCATGCTTGACTAGTACACTCATGTGAGTGAGTGGTTGGTTGGCAATAGAAAAATCATAAAATTTGCTAAAAAAAAAAAAAAAAAAAATATTTAAAAACACTTGAGCCTCTCACAACTTGGCTGAAAAGCGCTGAGCAGTGCTATTTAGTGCAGTGCAATGATTTTCGAAATTAGTAATTTGAAAATCATTGTTCAAAATTCAAACTAAACTAATCTTCTGCGCCACTACTTGAGTTAGAGAAAACTGACATTTTGTTGTTTTTCAAACACACTTTTACTTACTTCGAAGAAAAAAGTACTTAACACGCTTAAAAGATTTTTATGGAGATCGTGAAATAACGACAAACATTCATCTATACATATATATGTATTTAATTTGTAGTAAAAATAACGACAAACATTCATCTATACATATATATGTATTGAATTTGTAGCAAAAATTATAGATATATACATACATATATGTAAATGCATATAATTTACAAACTAAGAAAAAGCACTTTGAAAACTTTCATCTAAAATATCTATGTATGTAAAAATGATGTAGACTGTAACTACATACATACATATGTACATACACAAGCATTATCAAGTTGTGTATAATAAAAAGCGAATTAGCGTAAAATCTGCATTAAAAAATGAACTTCGAAAAAAAAGCGAAAATGAAAATTTCGAAAATTTCCAAAAAATGAAATGCGCTAAAGGACACACTGTTAAGGACAAAAAGACAGTAGAAACATTTTTCATTAGCAAGCAGAAAACATTTAAACATCATTATTAACAACAATAAAAATAAGTTAAATAAATTTTAGCATACAAAATGCTACTTTTTTGCACATAATTGTACTGCAGGTTCAACAATTCTTACGAGCTCTAGCTTGTTTTGTAAATCTATGTACACATACATATGTATTTACAGTTACTTTAACATTTCTTCCCAACTGTACTGTGCTCTTAGACACAACATTATGTAATTTTGTGGAAAAAGCGCATAAGTCGAATGTAACAGTAAAGTGTGTTTTGTTATGTGGTAGCAAAAAAAAATGAAGAAAAGCACTAAACAAACGCCAAGCAACAACAAACTCATCACTACTGTATTACGTATTATGTATTTCAAATTCCTCAATTATGCCTTCGGTTTGGCTGGATTTCTTCAATACCGTTTTGGGCGTTTTGTGTTGGCGCCTAAAGTTAAATGAAAAATGAAAAAAGAACCCACACACATACATATGTATATACAAGTAAGTACATATATACTGTAAAAGAATTTTGAGGCAAAAATTAAAACAAAAGATTTCAAGTTACACACACCCACACACACTCAAAAAGAACACATATTACCGTTTATAAATAATTACATAAAAATATTGTAAAATTTGCAAACAAAAAACAACTTTCTTTAAAATACACAAACAGTTATTTAAAAAACTGAACAAAAAAAAAATTCAGACAAACTGTGTTGTTGTTAATTGAATTGCAGGTGAGTAATTTCTTTCAGTGCCTCTTTTTCTGACCGATTTTGTTCGGGCTTTCTTTGTCGTAGCCAATGCAGGCTCATTTTATATTGGTCAAGTAAAAAGTTATCCATTATTTTTGCATTCAATTTTAGGCTTTATTTACCACCACCAGAATTGTCCGATTTATGGCATATACGCACCATTTTGCTCTATAACTTTTCCCCTCTAAAGCTAACATCATTATGCTGCTCTCATAGAAACCCTTGTACCTTTTGGCCATGAAATTGGAATGAACGCTTTTCACAGGCTTTGAGGTCAATTCTTCGACAACCAAATC